ATATATATATATATATATATATATATATATTAACATTAAAAATAAAAAATAGTAACATTCAAATACAAAAAAAATTTATCATTTGGACACAAAAAATAATACATTTAAACACAAAAAAATAGTAACATTTAAACATAAAAAAAATTGAAACATTCAAAATTAATATTTTAAAACAATAACAACAGTAACATGTTCAACAAAAATAGTAACATACTTAACAAAAAATGTAACATACTTAACAATAATTATTTTTCTTAAATTCAAACGCAAAAAATAATACTATTCAAATACAAAAAATAGTAAAATTCAAAACAAAAAAAATAGTAACGTTGAATATTAATATTTAGGAAAATAATAGTAGTAACATGCTCAACAAAAACAGTAACATACTCAAAAATAATAATACATAAATAGTAAGATACTCAACAAAAGTAGTAACATGAACAGTAACATAATAAAAAAAATTGTAACATGAATTTAAATTTTACTATTCAAATTAATAGTAACTTTTTTTTGTATTTGAATGTTACTATTTTTTTTTAATGTTATAATATATATAACCTATATATGGATATAGATAGATAAGAGAGAAATTTTTTTTTAATGTTAGTCAAACACTTAACTTATATATGAATATAGATAGATATGAGAAATAAAAGATTAATTTCCTTTTAAGGAAGGGTATTTTTGAGATAAAAAAAAAAGTGAACTTAAATCATTACATATAATTTTAAACATGAACTTAACCTCTTATAAGTTTTCTTGCAGGAGTTATCTCTAAACAAGTACATCTAAGATGACTTACTTCCAATTTTCATTATATTTAACTCCTAGCGAAACGGAATAAAGAATTATTTATTTTTAAATCCCGAAAGACTAAAAAATCATAGATTTACGGTTATTCTTTTATAACATTAACTCATCTTTATTTCTTATTCGGATTAATTGGTCATGTCATCTATGAAATGTGCCGTTCCTTCATTCTTCTATGGTTTGAAAATAGTCCGAACTATGCACCTTTTGACCACCAAAACCTACGCATGTAGGTTAAGCTACACCAATTCTTCTACTCCTTTTGGAAGTTGTTTGTGTTAGCCATGTCTCCACAGTCAGGTAATTAAATTTTAATTACCTGAATATTGACAGTAAACAAACTGTTATAAAAAAAAAAAACAAAGGCCTCGAATAATGGAAAAAAAAATGAAACGATTATCCCTATAACTAATGAAATAAAAAACAAGTGTCGATTACGTGTGTGTTGTGTGTGGATGGCAGGGTTGTCTTCCAATAGAAACTGGGGCCTTAACGACAGTTTTAGTTTGGTCATTTCAAAATTTAATATAAATACATGTAGTATATTTAGTTTAGAAATCAATTTTTTTTTTTTTACTTTTTTTATACAAAATTACTAAGTGTCAATATTTAAGTTTTGTAAATATATTAATTTCGTTGAATAATATGAATTCATTTTTTGACGTAGTTAATAGCATGTAGGATTTTTTTAGTCTTAATTTTGTTTTAAAAAAAACATTTTAACAATTTTTTTTAAGAAGTTATAAAATAAAATATAATTTTCTTCAATTAGTGCTGAAAAAAAATATTTTTGACACATGAAATCAAGTTTGTAATTTTGAGTCTTGACTCTTAAGCCTATATTTTAACTCTTAGGCCTTAGAAAGATGGATCAATTGTTTCAAATAAAAAGTAAAAAATAATTTAAATATCAATTGTTTGGTCACCCGTTCTTGCATCTTAGAGAAAGCACCAACAACTTCGTATTCTTCATTGACAGGTAGCTCATGTTCTTAATTGCATTTATCTTTATTGTTCAGCTAACAGTTTCTATTCTTTCAATATATTTTATAGATTTTTTACGTTGTTTTTTCTTCATGAGTTCTCTATAATATGTATTTATTCTCACAAATTCTTTGACTCTATCTGTTTGTCATGAAAACTCTCCCAAATAATTTATAAAAAATTCTATTTTTGATTTTTTGACTTCTATGTTGCCATTGTACTAGTGTAATAATTTCTATAACATTTCATTCTATTTGTTATAATAAAATTGAGTGAAATAATGAAAAAAAAAATATGGATTCTATTTCATTGGACAATTCACATGATTAAGAGTATCAATCGATGGACCATCTATATATTTTACCTATATATTATGACGTTGTAAAGGTGCTTTCGCCCCTAACATTTTTTTGAATTTTTTTTGCTCTCGCTCTTGTTCGTGTTCTTGATCTATGAAATGATTTTGCAAAAATTTATATATATATATATATATATATATATATATAGAGAGAGAGAGAGAGAAAGAGAGAGAGAGAGAGAGAGAGAGAGAGAGAAATTATTGACATCTTTGTCCACCAAATATTGTATAAGGATTAAAACAACATTTATCTATAAGAAGAGCAATTCTATAGGGATCTAATTTAAAGACCTAATTCAATACCATTGTTGGATTAGTTATGAGATCCAATGTTAGATAAAACCTACTTTCAATCTAATGATTGTATTGAATTACATCTCTATTAAGTCCAAATAACATTTTTTGTATTAGAAATATGCAAAAGCGAAAATTAAGACATATGCATGGCAACTATAGTATTGGGTGCGGTCTCTTTTGCAAGGCCATACCCTACTTGAACGGGGTCTAGATTAATGGATTCTTTCACCGCAGCTTCGATTTCATCGTAAAATTTGGAGTTCTACATAGTCAATGTGGTTCTTGAATCAATTATATGATATTGCCCTCTATTTGATCAATAATGTTATTTGGATGTAATTTGCTGATTTAATCTATCACAACCATTGAATTAGTTGTGGATCTCAACAAATACTAGGATCTACGGTCAATTCAATAGTTTTGAATAAATCAATCCACTAGTATTCGCATTCATCACTTGTATTACCACATGTACCTCTGGGTAGAGCTTGAAAAGAGGCAGAGTCACAAGGAAGCTCCACATAAGTAAAATGTTTAATGGGATCAAAGAAGTGTTGATCTTGAGGATAGCAACTGTCACAAGATGCACACTGATCCCACACAAGATCACTTCCTATGTCAACAAAGGCTAGGCTTTCAATTGAAATCCTTATGAGATACTCACCACCATCTGACATTATTGTTGGCTCAATTTTTTCTGCATCAACAAATGATGTTTTGCTCGGGCAATGGACTGAAGAACATCATAGCTTGACAACTCTCCCAGGGTGGTGGAACAATTATAGAAATGAGACAGTTGCAAGTAATGATGAATTAGTTCAATGTCGAAGTCAACGATTATAGCTTTAACAAGGTATGTCATAGGCAGATGAAAGATAATTACTATCACAAAAATAAGGAAATAGTTCATGACCTTGATAAGTACGGTCTACAAGAAAGTCAGAGAGAAGGATGGTTCATTACAAGAGAGAAATAAAGAAGTATGGTTGAAATGTGTTCTAAAGTCACAATTTATAGAAGAGCTTTTGTGATGTGTATATTTTTTTTCTTTTTGCTTTTTTATTTTTATTTTTGCGGTTATTACATCAAGTGCAGAAAGAATTACTATAAGTTAGTCCAAAACTGTTCTTTACCATGATGGTGGCCTGAAGCTTTACCAATATAAGAGTAGTGATAGGGGTCCAATTCATGGAATATCCATACAAAGAATGATAGGGCCATCCAATAAACAATTTTAGATCCACATCAACGATACTATATATCTACCTA